CCCGCCCCCCGAGTGCACAAATTTTTGTGCACCGGGCCTCTAGTTTGTATATAAAACGATAACAACAGTACCTTCCTCATATGTAGTTGTGAGGATTAAATGAAATAATCTATGTAAAGTTCTTCAAACAGTGCCTTAGAAGCATACCATAAATAGTACCAGTTAATATTGTTGTTGAGAACTAAAGCTTGCTGATAGTTCTCAGATCCTGGAAATTAGCAACTTTTTCTACTCACTGCCAAGAAGTTAAGGCAGCACCTGGCTATGTGTCTATATCCTCTAAAGAACCAACAGAGTCAAATCAATCAAGTTTTATCCCTACCACCAGCATGTCATCATCATAAAGAAAACCTTTTTTGAGTACCTACTGCGTGCAGGTCATTTAAGTTCTCTAGAAGTTAGTAGCTAGGTCAATTCTGGCCACTAAAGCCCAAGGGTCTCAAATCTTAATTCAAAACACTGTAAGGGTAGGTTATACTTAGGCCTGGGCCCACATGTTCTTAATTCCCAGGGAAGAATACACATTACTTTTCAGGACTTCTACACTAGCCAACGCGTTCTGATGTGGGGTTTGCGTTCCTTGGCACTGTCATGTGACTGGCTTTTGATGTGGTTTCTGTTCCAGTAAGTTAAACTCTGGCATCTCAGAGCTGGCGCGGCTGCCATGCTAAAGATGAATTCTGAGCACAGACTAAGGCTGAATCTGCATGCCTGCGGGCAGACGGACCACAAACTGCCACGGGTTAATTAGCCTGAGGCTGTTTCAGGCGGCATGGCCCCACTAGTCAGGGTTCCCGGGTTGCTGCTGCCTGTAGCTTGGGTATCTCCGACAGTGCTCCTCGACATGTTTTTGGTGTTCCACCTCTTCAGTGGGAGAAAAAAAAAAAAGAAAAAAAAAAAACAGAAAAAAAAACCCAGAAAAAAAAGAGAAAACTTCCTTTGAACCCCGCATGTTCCTGCTCGAGGCTACAGAAGCAAAGTTACTGAGATTCATGAAACATCTCACCGCTAGGGGTGAGATCTTCCCTGTGGTGCCTGGCATTTACTTATTATGTTAAGTAAATGAATAATCCATGCCTAAAACAAAAGTATAAGCATTGTGGTAAATAATACTCGCACCCACCAGTACCTGGTTCTCCCATCTTTCCAGGCACATGGCAGACTAGACTGCCCAGCCTTCTGTGGTTGGATGGGGCTGTGTAGCTGGTTTGGGCCCAATGGGGTGTGAGCTGAAGGGACACTGGTCACCTCGGGGCTGAAGCATTGAAGTGTTGAAAAGCAGATGAGACATCCAGTCTCTTTTCTGCTGAGGAGACCACAGGAGTCCTGTGTTCCAGATGTTGCAGCTACAGATAATAGAGCCTCCATCAGCCTGGATCCTTGTGTGAATGATGGAGTAGAACTTCCCCAACACACACACCCCTACCCTCGACTTGCCATGGACATGTAACATATGCAAGAAATAAATCTTTTTTGTGTTCAACTTTGGGATCTAGGGGTTAATTTGTTAGCAGAGTACAACCTAACGTGACTAATTCTAACTAATAAAGTTATCTCAGAAATATTAGCAATATAGAAACTGGTCTGCAGGTTACTGTGGAGGACCTGTACTGGGGTTAGGCCAAGGTTGTCTACGGTGAAAGATAGAGGACAAAGGGAATGCTTTCAGGGAGGAGCAGCAGTCCAAATTACCAAGTTCAAGGGGCCTGGCATACCGCAGTCTACTCTGGGATGGCTGGAGGCTGGGCAGAACTTCCAGGGGATACCTTCTCTAGAGGTGCTCATCCTAGAAACACCACACTCCAAAACCAGGTCAGCCAGGTGGAGCAGCCCAACCCTCCAGGAGAGAAAGCGTTCCAGTAGGCGGTGTAATGTGGCCTCGCTGGCTCAGAGCCTGGAGGTTAGTAGCATGTCTAAGGGCCTAAGAAAGTGAACGATGTTTCATAGGCCCCTTCAGATGCACAGGTTGTTAGACCATGATGAGACTTTATTAGCTGGTCTGTTTGGTTTTCTTTCCATAGAGCCTGAGTGCCAATTTTCCAAAGGGGAATTAAGACGTACTGCACAGACCCCATCTAAGGCTCTTCCAATTGCACCTGTTAAATGATAAACTAACAACCCGGTGTGAGGGGAGTCAGTGCTGCACTTTGCATTTCTAAACCTGAAATGACCCAGCTGCCCTCTCGAACGTTTCAGTAAATTGGACAGAGAAGAACCCGGAAAGGGAATTCAGAGAAGCTCTTCCCCTTACCATCACTGATGACATGGTGACTGAAAGTCAGTATTACCATCTATAGAGAAGCTCTTCCCCTTACCATCACTGATGACATGGTTCATAGTGACTGAAAGTCAGTATTACCATCTACCTTTTGTTTGACCAGCCTGAAGTGCAGTGGTGTTCAATGAACAGCAGCAGAACCATGCACATGACCACGTTCATCATGGCTCAAAACTTCCGTCTTGTTAGAACTGGAAGAAAGAAGAAAGGGCGATGAGTTCATTTGCTTATGACTCCCTGGGCTGGAATTGCAGAAGAGTTTATACTTCTGTGTAAAAATGTCCTTGCAGAAATCTACAGTGGGGCCTTGACTTACGAGTGTCCCGACTAACGAGTTTTTTGAGATACCAGCTGTCTCTCGGCCGATTTTTTTGCATTGAGTTGATAGAGTAATTTGAGTTAACGAGCTCCTTAATGAGCTCCTTAACGAGCTCGGTCTCGGAACGAATTAAACTCGTAAGTCAAGGCCTCACTGTACTTCTCTGAATTGGTTGGGAATGCAGAACCAGGCGTCTGACAACATTGACATGAATGCACTTTCTAGGACCAAAGGGGGTTTTGCTACTTTGCTGCTTAGCAGAATTTTTATGCTAAAGTCTCTCAGGGTTTTTAATTTTTACAAGGTAATTATTTTCAAAGTCAAGAAGGTGCAGTTTCTCCTACTGGAAACCTCCTGCTGCAAGAGAAATGGGATCTCGTTGCAAATTACTTAAATCACTCGGCTCCCTCTGTCTCTATCCACTCTACTGGGCAGGCTAGCTGGAATATTGAGAACCACAGTGTGGTTCCCAGGTACCCTGCTGTAAAATAATTACATCAGATGTTAATGTGGTGAATCCATTTAAACCGAGATAAATTCCATATGCAAATATAGTTTTACTTTGAATGCAATGCACTTGAAAAGAAAATGCCAACGTGTTTAGAATAAAAAGCAGATTTATAGCCCCACCCTGATTAAATAAAATATTTAGAGACAGTGAATACTGTCAGTTGAAAAGTAATAGCAAAAATCTATCTGGAGGTTCCCCACCTTTTAAATCCATTATCAACAGCACTACAAGGGTATTTTAATTATGATTTCCAAATCACACCTTGATACTCTGTGAAGTGAAAGAAAAAGCCCCACCTTCTGAAATATACCATAGTTACATTTCATTTTTCAGCTGCTCCAAGAGTGCTTCATTCCCAAAGGTTGCTGATACAGGATTCCTGGGAGCCAAGGTGGCAGGTGAAGCCCTTTGCACAGAGCCCCAAGGTCTGAGCAGAACTGGAGCCAGTCCCCTCTACTATGATTGCCACAGCCCAGGAGGAATGGGGCCAAGGACAGGTCTTGATTTATGGAGCTGTGCAGGCTTGTGGGTGGAAAACATACTTCTGACTTCAGCCTGGTCTTGCAACTGAGCTGTAGCACAATGGCTATCCCAAATGGATGTTTGTAGGGAAAATTATGAAGCTGGTGTCCTTTTGCCAAGCAACAATTAGAATTTCCAATACCTAAATTGAGCTTACAAATAAATGAATGTAATCTCCAAACAATTAGAACTGCACAAATAAGCCATGGAAGGAAGGGAGAGAGGGTACTGAGATGCAAGAGATGTCTTTCTAATATGCCAGGTGAAGGTGATATCGACTTAAATCCTTGCTTCTTTCAGGTCCACGCCCATTACAGAAGTAAGTTCTGTAAAGGAACACAAAGAGACTAAGGAAACAGACTCTTATGAGCTCACATAACGGGAGGCTCATCCTTGCTGCCTAAAGCAGTGCACCTGATTGAAGGGCGTCGTGAACTCTGCTCCCATCTTGCCAACCCGGGAGCTGAGACTGGCGTGCAGAGTGGGAACAAGAGCCCTGAGCTCCACAAGTAGTCTGAGGTCAAATCAGAATCTGTTCCTGTTCTGCCTTTCCAAGCTTTGTTTTTATATGAGCCATGTATACTAATGGCTCAGCATTGCTGGACCGGGGAAGGCCATGGTGGGCAGTCCAAGATGGACATTCATTAGAAATGAGGAGGGCTGGGGCTGTTCCTAAAAGGATTTATTAGAGCTGGAAATTCACAGATTAACCATTGACCCGGCTACTCTACCCCACCAAAGCCTAACCCACTCTGAGGTCGCCCTACCAAAATAAATAGTGAATGTGAAAAGCTCAATAGTGATTCTATTTAGAGTTACTGCCACCCATGTCCAAAGCCCAGGCCAATATAAAGTCACCCAGGACTTCTCTGCAGAGGGCTACTGAACGTCCTCTGAGGCAATTAAATCATGGAACCTGTGCAAATGAGATTTTGATGGAATGAACTGAGTATTCATTCTGACCATCACACATAAATGCAGTATGGTTCGTTAATATCCTATGAATGATAGCTACTAATTAATACCTTTCCTTTGTAAAACATTTATAGCTTACAAAATAGCTTCACATGAATCATCTCTTTTATTTTCAGAACCCCATGATTCCGTATTATTATTGACATTAAGTGAATAAGGAAACTGGGGCTTCTTGGAGGGCAAGAGCCTTGCCTTGAGTAACAGAACGAATTGGTATTGGATGTAGGATGAGAATAGAGACTTTAAGTCCAATGTATTTTCTAATCCACCCCGTGGTCTCTACAAAAAACAAACAAACCCACAAACACCTCTTTTTTTCTTGAAAGCATTGACATTTATATTGTTTTAGCACTTATTATTTTATTTGATAGAAATAAATAGCTAACATTTATTGTCATTACTAAATAGAGTCATTGTATTAAGTGTCAGATGTTCAACACAAACTTTCTCATTTATGAGTTGGTATTATTCTGCCTATAGATGAGGAAACTGGGCACAAAGAGGTGTTTGTAATTTGCCCAACCACACAGCTAGTAAGTAGTGGAACAGAGATTTGAAAACAGTCAGCATGACTCCAGAGCCTTAACTGCAGTGTTATGCAGCCTCCCATCCTCACATCCATCTGGTGAGATAGGGAGGCTTGTGACTTCTTTAACTGACAATTGAAGAACCATAAGTCTAGTTGCTAGTAGACAGAACCATCCACATTGCCAAGATGTTTGGCATCTTTGGGATCTATGTTGATTGTTTCAGCTGGAAGGCTAAGCTGGAACCAATAGAAATAACCAATAACTAATAGAAAGAAGCCAAATAACCAGTAGAAACCAACCACTCTGCTTTTAGATTGGGTTCTTCCCCTGCTACTCTTCCACTCAGGACAGCTCTCCTTTCCTGTTAGCTAGCTTTTTCTTCTCAATGGCATCACTATTACTCCCATTCCTGATACTAAAAATCATTAAGTTCCTTCTCCCTCATTTCCCATATTCAGTCAATTATCAGGAGTTCCTATTTCTTTGTTGTGTATGTCTCTAGAACCTGCTTTTCCTCTTCTCTCCTACTGCCCCTACCACAGCCCAGTTCAAATAACTAGACAATAGCCTCTCTAGCTTCAGATACTTCCCTATATTAGTATATCACTCTTGTTTCCAGTCATCCAAAAAGCACAGCTGTCCTCATCACATTTTGTGCTTGAATCTACAAATAGCACCCTCTTGTCTATCACAAGCCCTGTTTTTTAGATCCTTCATTGTCTGTACTACTTTTTCTACCGATTTGTTCTCTCTCCCTTCTCCTCTTGTTAAGTGGGTCTCTTCACAGTACCCAACACGTGCTCATCTCCACATCTCTGTGCCTTCCTTGTTATTTTCCCTCTTATGTTATTTCTCTTCTCTCATGCTTATTCCAATCTAGATCTCCTCACAGCCTTCTATGAAATCTTCTCAGACTAGTTTTTCTTCTTGGATTCCTATTGTTCCTACAGAAAATGCCACAGAATTTTGTTTAATTTTGTTTAATGTTTAATTTTGTTTTCAGATTGTCTCACTATTAATTTTATGTCCTCCACTAGACTGTAAGTTTCCCAGGTCAAGGACCCTCTCAGATGTTTTTCACGATCCTCACTGGTAATAAGAGAGTACGTACTGAACTCAGAGATGGAGCCTGTTTGGTTGACCGATTTCACTTGGTGGAGGTAATTGGCATCAGCCCAGAAAGCAAACTAGCACAGGTTGATTTAGTAGCTTCACTGAATAACTCAGTGGCCTGGCTCTAGGACAGCGGTTCTCAACCTGTGGGTCGAGACCCCTTTGGCGGTCGAACGACCCTTTCACAGGGGTCGCCTGAGACCATCCTGCATATCAGATATTTACATTACAATTCATAAAAGTAGCAATATTACAGTTATGAAGTAGCAACGAAAATAATTTTATGGTTGGGTCACAACATGAGGAACTGTATTTATTTAAAGGGCCAGAAGGTTGAGAACCACTGCTCTAGGACAAGCATGTCAAACTCAAAGGCTAACACGGGCCAAATAAACAACGTTTAAGTTTATGTGGACCGCAAAAAAACAAAAGCTCTAATTTTCATAGAAACGTAGATTTATTTCGATAGAGACATGCTGAATACTAAAGGCTGAAATAAGTGAGTAATCATTAACATAAAATAATAGAACATTTTAATAAAAATTAATATTTTTTCTTGAACATTAACTTACCAGACACTGAATAACTGCACAAATTAATAAGCATAACGCAAATAAACCTATTTTTCTTGTTCTCCGAAAGCAAAATATTTCCTGTTGCGCACACCAAACAAGTCAGTAGAAGACTAATGACGTGGCAATAGGCTGCTAAAATATTCGCTGCTAGTATTAGTGGAGAGAAATAGTGTGCCTGCGTGTAAGGCACATAAGGGAAATGAATGCAACATGATTATAGTAATCAGTCATTAGCGAACATTATAGTTTGTTATTAATAATTATGTATAACAGGATATTGTAAATATTAAGTTATGAAATTTTTATTAAAACATTTCTTACATAGTGTTATATTGGCTGGGCCGCAAAAATAGTCATTGTGGGCCTCATGTGGCCCGTGGGCCTAAAGTTTGACATGCTTGCACTAGGAGGTTTATGTCTCCAATACTTGATACCAACATAAATTCATTTGAAGGTCAGGAGAGTACAAGAAGGCCAACTCACTTTCTGCATTAGAGTTGCCTATTTACCCACCTCCTTGAGCAGCTGAGGAACCATCTTCTCTGAGTCCTTTGCCAAGTCACAGTAGCTATTCTCTAAAGAGACATGGTAAGGGAAGAATGAGAGTGAAGGTAAAGTGAGTTATCCAAGTGAAAGACCACAGCAAGCAGAATCTGATTTATAATCTCCAAAGCAATACGTTAGAGAGTGGGAAGTAGCTCAAGGCAGATGTTTAAAATAATTCATGAAACAGTTTTTACCAGAGAGAACTTGTTGGACGCTGGTAAGCATTGTTCAGAATCAGCCGGTTAAATCGCCATTCATCAACATTAAATTTGCCCCAGGCCAACTTCTGAGACTAGTACTTTGGAACCAGAATATTGATAATAATAAAGTTAGTAAATATGTACACATTTGAAAAGTTTGTCATACTTTCCAAACTGCATTCTCAAGTACCATCTTAGGATTAAATTCTTTAGAGTTGGAAAGAGTGCTGAAGGTTATCTGGTTGAAATAGGGGTAGCATTTTTGCATACTATTATATATGCTTCTTTGGTATTTCATTGACTGACCTATCCCTTTACCTTCCCATTTTGTCAGAGACATTACTAGTATGTCTACCTTTTAGATTTCTACAGCATGAATGCCAAAAAAAAGGTTAACCTTTAAATCGCACAAACAAAAATGGATATTGTAGGAAAGACAGTTGCAAAACTAGGTTTTGTTGAGAGAGAAGTAGAACTTTCTACATTTCGTTAGCTCCCATTTAGCATAACAAGAACCAAGCCTGTAGGTAGGTCTCAGATCATAAAACTGTTTCCATGGGGTGCAAGTACTGGTTCTATCTGTGATGACTAGGCCATGAGGCTAAGTGCTTTAGGATTAGCTGAGAATGATGAATTGTAAAGGCAGGAAGCCTGCTCATTTCTCTAAAGGACCATGAGAAGGAGAAGGGAGACAGATGCTGGAGACACACATTGATCTTGATTTTCTGTCTCTGGGCTATCCAGAGAGGGAGTTTTGTTACATAAATTAAAATCAACACAAGGCCTTTGCTCCATTTAAGACTGCATGGAGACAGGCTCCCCACACTGATCTGGGAGTGGCCACATCAGAGTAAACTCAGCAGCACAGCGTGGTTAGGAGTGGAAGGGTTGGGGTTTAACTTTCCCAAGCTACCCTCAGTTCCTATGTGGTGGAGAGGGAACACAAAATATCCTGCTTGCCCTGCGGGGGGCGGGGAGGGGGGGCGGCGCACAGATGTTAGTTGGAGTCTGGCTAGAGGATATTCCAGAGAGGGGTGACCATGGTGGGCAAGATGGCCATGCGGCCAAGGCTACAAAATGAAGTGCCTGTGCCCTGGCCTCACAACCAGACCCAGGGGCCAATAGCACCAACGGAGTTCCAAGCGGGGCTAAATTAGGAAAAAGGAAAGCTGGGCTCTGACTCAGCCAAGAGAGAAAATGAACCACAAGCTACCCAACCCATACTTCAGCAGCACACACTGCTGAGAGCCAAGGAATGGGACAAGCTGCACATCAGTGGCCACCAGTCCTGGGAGCAGCCCAGGCCAGCCACCCTACAGCAGACCCAGTGAGGATCCAGGCCTGTTCCCTCTACCCAAGAGAATACAGTAAGCCTCCCTCATGCACCTAGACATCCTCTTGGTGAGAGAGGGAAGGGGAGAGACATCTGAAACTCTGGGCATTTTTCCAAAAAGGAAAAAGAAAGAAAGACTGAGTTATCCAAAGAACAAAGAATGCTGTTCCAGAGCATGGGATTGGACTGAGATTAGAGGGTTGCAGTAAATTCAGTTTCCCACATCCCAGTGGGATGAGGCTCATTGAAAAAAAATCAGAGCATTTCTACAAGTCCTCTGTACTCTACTTGGAGAGTAGGGTGAGTGCTTTGGTGACCCTGCTCCCTAGCCTGACCTTCCCCTTTCTGTGCAGGAAAAAAGCTCATATGGACCACGGGGCCAGGTGAGGTAGATGTTACATATGCAGAAACCAAGGTCCAGCAGTGAAATATCTCATCTATGGTCAACTGGGTGGCAAAACCACAACAGGAGCTAGTCCTCCTAATCCCACCACAGGTTCCCCCTGCAGGGCTGTGAGGGCCGTGAGCCTCTCCAGCGACTCTGCAGGAGATGCCCCAGTACCTGGGCCCATGGAACAATGGCGAAAGGTGTTTACACAGTTTCCTGTGCTCGGGCCTCCATCCTATCCTCTAGTCTCCTTTCAGGAGACTCCTATGGCTGAAGATGTTCCTTTGATATAATTACACCTGAGGGAAGTGAGGGGGTGTTGTGATTCTACGTGCCTTTCATTATGCCAAATGCTTGAAATGGCACGAAGCTGATAGAACAGGGTTTGAACCAAGTGCTTCTTTCCTCTGAAGTATCACCTAAATTGAAACCTTTATTGGTTGCAGTTTTTATCCATCTGCAAAAACATAGAGAAGGAGGTTGGCAAAGGACTTCAGGCTTTTCCCCCCAGAGTGTTACTTACCTGACTTTAACCAGATGCTGTGTATCAGCCTGTCTCTCTCCTCCATGCTCAGCGTGTAGAAGACAGAAGAAATACAAGGAATGCTTGTTATGTTATGGACTCTCTCCCCCTCTCTTTCTCTTTCTTTCTTTCCCCATTCCCCCCCCCCCCCCCCGCCCTTTTAATTCCAGGACCGGATATACAAGTTCCAGAAGAGGAATATACATCCCCAGAGTCTGAAATCAAATCTGGAATTCATATCCTCTGTAAATGTACTTTATTAAAAGCAGGAATCAAGAAAGGTTTTGGAATTATTATATTGGAGAGGTTGATTGTGTAGAATGGACTTAGAATTAGGGATAATTTTAGACATGTTTTTCAGGCAGCCAACTCCAAGGACGAATGGGAAACTGGGCACTTTGGCATCAGTCCCATCCCAAAGGCTTTAAAACCAGCCCTCAGCCTGCATTACGAAGTCGAAGTCGGCAAAGGAAGCAGGAGACTGCAATAAAACACATCCATCTATAACTGTTGCAATCACTGTAGGAACACATAGTAGGCACCCAACTGTCATTCTGGGGTTAATCTTTGTGAAATCCGTTTGCTGACACTGAATGATATTTAGTGCAACCCCAGACCTCCGCCAGGGGTGGAAGGCATGCAAGGTTGCGTGTATGTTGAGTGTGTCTGTGCTTGCACCTGTGTGAAACAGCTGGAAGTACTGGTTAAAGTCCAGAATTGGAACCAGCGGAGGCCGTAAGGGGAAGAAGCAGGGCCAGTCACAGGAACTGCCCTGGAACACGCCTGCAGCTTGTACTACTGGCTGTTCTCAGGATTGGAAACGAGGAACTTGTCCATTGTTCCCATAAGGCCCAGACAGTTTTATACCAGTAAACTGCCTCCTAACAATGTTTCCCCCTCCGTTTGGCATCCTTCTGAATACAATTGCAGCTCATGGTATTTCTGGGATGAAAGCGATCATTTCACGGGGGTCAACCAACTCAACAGCGGGAGCAAAGTGATTATGGAATTCACACTCCTGTAACAAAAGAAGAGCTGCGCCCTTTAACTGGTCAAAAGAAGTGGAGCCCCTGGTGACCCAGAAGAAGCCCCAGGTCTCTGCAAGGTCCTCTGGTCTCCGTGTTCCAGAGCTAATTAAAGGAGGGCAATTGCCCTGTGTGATAGAAGGCTCCGGAGAAAAAGGTTGGAATGCTGAATGCGATGCTTCTGGTGGGGCCACTAGCTGGCTTTCCGCTGCTATCTCGTTCAGGCTCCATCCCCACGCCCCCCACTCTCCATTCACATCCAGTGCCTCTCCTGTTGCTTTATTGGAAAAGTTCCCTTTTCAGAACATGGGGGAAGGTGCTGTGAACATTAGGATAGCTAAGGTCCTTGACTTTTCATGTCAGCTGCCTTTCTGAAACTTCTGTTACTGTCTTAATTACAGCAGCCATAAAGGAGACTTTGAAATTCCCCTGATTGTGACTCCCGGGAGAAACAGCAGCTGGATTACTTTCCCGTGTCCCCATCTTCTGGAGAAAGCTGGATTCCCCCACCCACTTCTTTCCTTCTCCCTGCAGGGTTCTGGCCTCCAGAGATGAGCGTGGGCCTGGAGTCTCTCCCCCCAGGGCTCTTTGCAGGAAGGGTGGCTGCTCAGATTCCAAGCTTCCTGCCTGGACAAGTGACTACTCTAACACCCCCTCAGGGAGGTGGTTTGTAATGTTTGTTCTGTAAACTCTTAAGTAACTGTGTTCTGTTCCACCAGAGGAGGTCATGTGGCTTAGAGAGAAAGCTGTGTTTTCCTGTGGGTAGTTAGGGACACTGAGACACATCCAAGCAGCCACGCTGATAGAACCCCCTCTCTGAGCAGAGAGCACTGTTCGGGGAGCCAAGGGGAAATGACATTCATTATCAAGTGCAGATTAACGTGCTACAAACAGCCCTGGGTGCTAGGCTTGTGACACTTAGGCATCTGTCTTCAGAAACTTTACTCTAGAAATGGCTCCTTTTGGAAGGTACAGATCAGTGAGCTGATACATGGTTCACTGATCGACTTCCCACAATGCTCAGTGTCCCAGGGCCCTGTTCTTCCACTCATTCACTGATGGCTGCATTTTTCATTGTAACTTTAGCTGTGGTTCTGAGTCCACACCCCCATCCATCCGTCCAGCTCAGGTCATCCTGTTTGTCTCTAAAAGCCAAAAACTTTCCCAAAATGCATTGAGACAGCAGCTTCTGAGTGACTAGAAGGAGCATGGCTGGCTCTTGCTGGGATGTGAGGAGGGCGCTGGCCCAGAACTTCTGTGGGTCTCAGGCTTGGCTCCGCCGAGTGGTTTTCCCTGTGGCCTTGCCTGCTGCCATGCCGCAGATGAAAACAGCCAACCACTCTCTGCTCACATGTCTTTATCTTCTTGGTTTTCTTAAACTGAGGCATGATTTACATATCACACCATTCTAATCATAGAGCTCAATGCATTTTGACAAATAAATGTATGAAAATATTCCTCATTTGACCTCCACCCAACTCAAGATCCCATGAAATCTCCTCCTGCCCATCATGTTCTTGGACTTTTAAAGCCACCCTGGGAATGTCTTACAAAGTTATCGAGCTCTCTTCTCACTTGGAGCTTCTTGTGCTGGTTGTCACTCTGGCTGGCCACCAACTCAGCTGCAGTCCTTCCCTCCCCTCAGCCACTCCCTCCACGGCCAGATGAGGGAGCTTGGGCAGACTCCTCTCATTCTTTTTAAAAGTGATTAGCTTGAAGCTCTGAGAGGTCAAGCATTTGCTCCTGGCGAGTGAGGAATGGTGCGATGGCCAGACCCAACCCCTCCAGGTTTCCTCTTGGCTCCCTAGCTTTCGGGAGAGCACAAAGCTATGCCGTAATGGAGTGGGAACTGGTCAGGATGCAGACACCTGGAGCCCACCTCTACCCGGGTCAGACAGTGCCCTGGTTCTGGATTCCAGGCTGCTTCTCACCTGGGGGGGGCGGGGGGGGAAGGGTCACCCCTGCTTGTGATGTGTGTTCTCTCCTCACACCCACCCCCTCCCGTTTGCCCACCCAACATAAGTGAGTAGTGCACTAGTGGACATGCTTGAGAATCATCCACAGAGTGAGTTGTACACACCGATTCTCAGGGCTGGGGCAGGGCATTTTTACCAGGCTTCCTCCTCCCCCTCTCCCCACTTACCCCAGGGGATCTGTGGGACCCACTGCACTTCGATAAACGATAAACGCTGTGTAGGAGGAGCTCTCCCTATCTCCTCCACTGAGGAAGTAACATTCAATAGTTTCCACTCTTATCATACATGACCCCTCCCTTCCTGGGAGATTTCCCCTTCCTGAACTTCTTCCGCCTTTATCTTTGCTATCTGCCTAGTCCCTAAATGATTGGGTTCCTTTGATCACCATTCTATTATTCAACTTGTCCACCTAATCTCTAGTTCTTTCCCGGATTGTCCCTTAACCTCTAGATAGCCTCAATGTTTGTGATGACTAACATAATCCACACACACCAAATACGTGCACAAACACACCCTCTGCTGACATCCCTTCCATAGCTCCACTGAGTAAAGTCCAAACTTCTTAAAGCTGCACTTAAGACTCCCCAGTATCTACTGCTCACCTTCCAGTTTCATCCTTTGTCCTCTTCCCTGCAGGATGCCCTTTCCTCCCACCACTCTTCCCCAGCTATTTTCATACCCCCTCTGCCTGTGGAAATCCTCCCCTTGGGCTCATCTGGCGAACCCCTACTCATCTTTCAGGACACAGGTTAAAGGTCCATCTGCCAAGAAACATCTCAGCCTCCAAACACCCCCTGCCAATGGCTTGTTCCTTTTCCCTAGGCTGCCGCTCCCTCTCCAAACCAGGAGCTTTGTTTCCTCAGAAACTGCACGGGGTGGGAACTGGGGGTGGGCCCTAATCCAACATTTTCCTGGACAAGGGTCTGCGGTTATTTATTTATTTAGTTTTTAATTCTTATTATTTTAAATATTTTTATTGATTTCAGAGAGGAAGAGAGAGAGATAGAAACATCAATGATGAGAGAGAATCATTGATCGGCTGCCTCCTGCATGCCCCACACTGGGGATCAAGCCCGCAACCCGGGCATGTGCCCTTGACCAGAATCGAACCCAGGCCCCTTCAGTCCGCAGGCCGGCGCTCTATCCACTGAGCCAAACTGGCTAGGGCAGTGGTTATTTTTTTTTTTTGGTTATTTTTATATGATAGTCATGTACTAAAATAATCTACCTAAAGATGTTTATTGAGCATTTCCTATGTGCCAGGTACTGTTTTAAATGCTTTTCCCCCTATTGGATTTATTGGTAGAAGATGTGCTTTTCTCTAATGGTGGTTACTTATGTGACCTCATGTCTGTATAGTATTAGGTCTGACATTTCATTGTAGATCTGTAAGGGTCAATAAAGGCAATTGTCTCCAGTTAATCTGAGGGTTCCACTTCTATGGCAGGCAAGCGTAAGCTGGACGTCTCGGGTCCATTCATCTGAGTGGGTTGCTGTTTTTCTTGTCTTCTTTTCCTTGTAGGCTTTAAAAATGCAAATGGAATAATTGGAAGAGTGATTTTGTTTATTATGTCCATCCCAATATATCTCAAAATTTTAATACAAGTCAAAGGGGGAAAATGGTTCAAAATATACAGAAGATTTAATACACAGAAATTTAGTTTAAAAGGACCCTCTCCATGCCCTAACCAGTTTGACTCCGTGGATAGAGTGTTGGCCTGCTGACTGAAGGGTCCTGGGTTCAATTCCAGTCAAGGGCACATGCCTGGGTGTGGGCTTGTTTCCAGGGGGTGTGCAGGAGGCAGCCAATCAATGATTCTCTCTCATCATTGATGTTTCTATCGCTCTGTCTCTCCCTCTCCCTTCCTCTCTGAAATTAATAAAAATATCTTCTATAATAAAAGGCTAATACACAAATTGACCAAACGGCGGAATGGCCGGTCACTATGATGCACACTGACCACCAGGGGGCAGATGCTCAACACAGGAGCTGCCCCGTGGTGGTCAGTGCACTCCCACAGGGGGAGCGCTGCTTAACCAGAAGCCAGGCTTAAGGCTGGCGAGCACAGTGGCAGTGGCAGGAGCCTCTCCT